ACCGGGTATTATAAAATATGATTTGCAGTAGTCTCCTGATATGATAGTGAAAAGTTAACAAAAAAAAAAATCCTTAGCAACTTAATAAAGTCATAACAAGACACACTTCTTTTTGTTGTTGTTATTGTTTTGTCCTCCGAGTTACAACCTCCCTCCAAGGAACTATCTCAGCGAATTCTCCATGGAGCAAGTATGTAGACAATAAGCCCAAGCAACACAATTTGGTGTTTACTTTGAGAATGTTACTGTGTCTGAAACAAAAGACTATCAATCACTCTCATTAGGACAGTTTACCACTGTTTGATTGTTTTGCTTTTATTTCTCTTAATGTGGAAAAGAGAAGAATCCTTGAAAACTGCAAATATGGAGACTCTGGCCATTCTACCTATATGTCAAGAAAGGGTTTCCCAATGTATGCAGCCAACTGTTGAAATATGCAGTCAGTTGGGTAAACTTTTACATCTCCTCTTCCACAGGGGGCCCAGCCTTAGTAAAATTAAAAGCTATTTAGTAATAAAATAAAATAAAATAAAATAAAATAGGATAGTTTACCTTAGCTGACGCTGACTGTTCTTCCCTTCCTCCACACTGATCCTCATTACACACCTTTTTCTCCCAATGCTTTCCTCAAACACAGACCTATACATGTCCTTTTAGCCCAAGGAAAGCTTCATGGAGGATGCTGACTTCTTTCCACTTCTCCCTATTCATCTTTTAGCTTCCATTTAGACACGGCCTTCTCTCACCCGGTTTTCTCAGCCCCACCATTCTAGGTTACTTGTTTTACTCATCCATAACCTGATTCATTCAGTGAGTAAGTGAGTGAGTGAGTGAGTGAGAGTGTGTATATTTTAACGCTTCAGTTTGTCCAGCAAGCCTCCAAACAACCTCAGTGGCAGGAAAGGTTCTGTCTTGTTTTACTACTCTCTGTTTTTATGTGGCATGCTCAGTAAATATTTGTTGAGGCAACAGATTCTGAATGCAAGAATTCCTTTTATAAGTACAACCTGCAGTTTGCATCTTGTTTTGTATAATTCTTAGTGTTAGGTATAATTTTTTTCAGTTTGGAAGATTTTACAGCAAGTAGGAGGAGACGCTACTGAGGTGTGGAAGGAATAGGAAAACGGAAACTTATATTCCAGTTCATCTAGAGCCTTTCCAGTGTGGACTGGCTTCAGAGCTGCCACTAGAAACTCAGGGACTGTCCTGAGAGGAGCATGTTCTCGAACTATATTAATCTGAAGACGAGTTCACAACAGAATCCAGAAAACGTGTCTCTGAGCTGATGTAAGAACAACCCACGAAGGTTTTTGGCAGTTACTCTGATGCAGAGAAATGGGGACTGGCTGGATGATTGGATACAACAAATGACACTTACCACCCAAATGGCATTTAGTGAAAAGAAATGTTTACAGCAAAGCATTCTATCACTTAGTGACTAAGACTTTTAAAATAAACATGAAGTTCCTTTTAAACAGAAATGGAAAAAAGAACAAACTTCATAAACTTACTGGCAAGACTGTAACATGAAAGTCCCCATCTATGGTTAGATTTGAATCCCACTGACTGCTTATTTCAAATGAAACATTCTAGAAGGACACTCGTTTGAACACATACCACACATTCTCTCTTTTAAGGTAGGATAAATTAATTACAGGCAAAGGGGATATTTTGCACATCAGAACTAATCACCAGAGAGCTCTGAATCCCTAAAGGTGAAAGAATAGGGATTGGCCATATGTGTGTGCCTTTTTCCTTTTTTTTTTTTTTTTGGCAAGGAAGTAAAAATTTATGCAAAACACTGTGCGTCTACCTTCTATAATTAATTTCCCAATGCCTCACCTATACATATTTTAATAATTCCTGATTTATAAGATGGTATCTATAATAAAATTTTCTATTTTCCAACAAATGAAAAGAAGGCAGGTTCACTCCGGCAACAGAGTGTCACACAATATCTGCTTGTCAGGCACCAATTTTTACTTCTTACATGTAAGTTAAAGGATAAGGAATTTATAATGCTGCCTGTGAAGGGAACCACTTTTCATACACAAATGTGATCTTTTTTTTTTTTTCAAAGGGTAATACAACAGTACATTTACATAAACTAATCCAAACAATCTATGTATTTGACAATGGCAAACCTCACACAGACGGCCTATTGTTGGTTTACATCTTGGAGTTCTTTATATTGGCTTGTAGCGCTGCTCTGGCTGTCAAAGGTTTGACTTGGACTCTAAATAAATGGTTATAGAAGTGCTGTGCAGCGATATTGGGCTTCTTTGCAAAAGAAAACCTGCTGTGTATGAATTCAAAAGCTATTAATTTTTCAGTCAAAAATATTCGTGCCTATTTCTTTTAATAAAGAAATACTGTGCTGAGCTACTAAGAGATAATGTTGACTAGTGGTAGAGAATTTTCAATAGAACAGTTAAAAATAAATTTAGTAGGAGGTCCCCTTCAAAGTTATAATTTTCTAGAATGTAAAACATTTTTTAAAAAATACTAATCAGGACAAACCTTCCTTCTCTGCATTTCCCCCATGGCTGCTGTTCCCTGTTTATTGGCTGCTTGAGACTGTTCCTCATGGAGATTCCCAGTGATCCTTTTGTGGTCTATGGAGGCTTAGTACCTGGCAGTCCTCACTGACACTCAGCCCCATCCCTTGCTGAGAGCCCCATGGCGTCTTGTGATTCCTTGTCTAGTTTTACCCATCCTCCTCCCTCCCAGGAGTCCCATGAACCAGAATAACTCCATTCCTAGTGTGCTGAGTCCAGAGATTATTCTATCATTGTATTTAATCCATGGAGGAAACATGAGATAATCTCATTTCTTTCCCTTGTTGCCAGGTGAAAAGATTCAAACACTTCATCCTAGGCAAAACCATTTCCCTGCAAACTACAAACTAAAGTCACCAAAAGATTTTCAGGGAATTTCGCAGAGAAATGGCCCATTGCAAAGTGAGTTGGATAATTTCCGGGTCTTCTTAATTTGCTTAGCTGGGCTCATAATATTCCTAAAATCCTACTTGAAATGAAGCGCTGATAGGAAAAGGGGTTGATAGGAAAAGTACTGAATGTCCTATTGTGGTTTTATTCCTTTCTTTTTGGTAGCCTACAGAGACAGTCCTACAGTCATTTACTGCAAAACACATGGAAACTAAGGACTCCTTCCTAGTAAAAATGGATACGCAAAGTGTTTAATGATTTTATGTCCTATATCTCAGTAATGTGTTCTGTTTCAGACATTAATTTTGTCTGCCAACTGCATCTTGGCAGGCTACCATATTTGCTGGGTTAATAGTCTGACTCCGCTTTATTTCTATCACCATAAATCATACATATATGGGTGTATGTTTGCTTTATTTATAGAAAAAAATCAGTCAAAACAGATAAACCAATACTTTGCCATTATGCTGCATCATTGCATATTGATTAAAATTGCTGGTACTAACTATAGATTGTCAACGCTCAATTAATTTTCACACAGTGACTCCAAGCAAAATCAAATAAAGGCAGTGTACCTTTAAATTTTACAAATCTTAAAATCAAGCAGCAAAGCACTCTCTCCATGTTGAATAATCAGTTGATGCTACCAGAAGATTTTTAGAAATATAAGTATATGAGAAATACAACTGTTAAAGTGATTAATTTATAACAAGGAATGAGGGCCAAGATAGGATTTGGGATCTAGATACCATCCTTCTGCTTTGATATTAACTACCTTGTGCTTGGGAGATAACCTTTTTTTTTCCTTTTAATTTAATTAATTAATTTATTGAAATTTTATTTTTAAATTCCCCATACAATTACAACCCCCTTATTTTGACCTGAATTCCTCCTTTCCCCACCCCCCACCCCCCATAGAGTGTCTCTGGTTCATAGTTGTTTGTTGATTGGGTGATAATCTTGAAGGTCAAATAAAAAGGGAAAAAAGCAAGAAATTCCAGTATACCACATTTGGTCTGCTAACTGTAAAGGACTTTCACTTCAAAGCCTTTAGAAAAATTAGATGCTCTCCGTAATTTAACTTCTAGCTATTTTGACAATATACATCCCCATTATCTGAAAGTATAATGTTCCTTTTTGACACAATTTTTGGACCCAGGAATGTCTAGTTTTTTGCCATAGAAATTCATGATAACAGTTATCTCAGTCACACAAAAAAAGTATAACCTACCAAATTATACTAAATAGGAAGGTTCTGCTTTTGGATAGTGGGGAATATCTGTATTTCCTATTTCTTTTCTCTGTTATAGTTAGACTGGAGTATCCCTCATTCCTTTTCTCATACATCACAGTCTCTTGGCTTATCTAGACTGAAGTGCCTTTTTCTTCTGCCTTTATCATCTGGTTGTCTTCTCTCTCTATTCTCACAATTCAGAAAGGTTGTGTGTGTGTGTGTGTATATTCATTGAGCTCTTTTTTTTTTTTTAAGATTTACTTATTTATTTATACAAGCACTGGGTACAGTCAGAAGCACGGCAGGGTGAGAGAATTCACCAGAGTCAGAGCGGAAGCAGAACAGACAGAAGGACTGAAATACACTGCTGAGGGGAGCAGCGGGCGGCAGGAGAGGTCTGCGCGCCATGTGGGACCCTTTGGCCAGCGGCCAGGGATCGAACCGGCACTGCAGAGGCCGCAGGCAGCTTCGCAGCAAAGCACTCAACCACTGTGCCACCAGGGAGGCCCCTTCATTGAGCTCTTATAACATATGTTAGTACCTTGTTTTAGCATCAATAATTCTGTCGCAAAGAAGAGCTAGTTTGGTTTGGGCCTCATGACCAAAGACCATGTCTGAATCATCTTCCATCTCCCTGAATCCCTAACACCATGTCCTCTTCATAAAGGGTTAACCAGAAACACTTGATTAAACATACTCCAATGCAGTCTATCAAATCAATACTCAAACCTGTCAGCTGTCCTCTTTCCTATCCTTGGGGAGCAGAAGCAGGGAGAACATTCTGTAGGGCTTTTCCCTCTGTGTAGCTCAGTACTTACGGGCTGAGGGGCAGCTTTGGGTTCTGTAGACTTCACATGCAGGTGAGTCATCATGGCTTGCAGGCGTTCTTTGTCTTTTGCAAGCTAGTAAGGAGAAAACGCTTGTTATTTCTTTGAATACAGATGCATTACTATTTTAACATCTAAAATGATACTGATTTCAAATTAAACGATGGCACCATGGTACATGACAAAATCATTTTCATTGCCTAATTGTTTTGAAATCTATATGACCATTGCCAAACTCTAAGTAACTGGAGGTGCCAGTGTGAGATTTCTCAACACAAGATGCATTAGCATTTAACTGGGAAGTTCTAGACCTGCTGGCACCAACGAGTCCCGTGTAACACAGACAGCTAAAAGACAAAACGTGAATCATGCCTATTAACCAATCTTATTCATGAGGAGGCCAAAGGAAAATGAGCTACGTAGCTCAAACTCATAAATTCATCTGTTGTGGTTGTGGAAAAACTCCTAGACAGATGAATACATTTAAGCAAAATTAACTTCATCTTTCTGAAGTGTAGGCAGAGACTAAGACGGTGCCGGCAAGCACCATTAGCTGGGCAGGCTCAGGGGCACGAGGGTGACAGGTTCCCATCTTTCATGAATACAGAAAGAACTTATTCATTTATTCAATAGCAATTACCTACTAAGTACCATTTTCACAAAAATTTAAATCTCCTTATTCTATAGAAAATTATCTTCTGAAGGCAGAGATGTTTCTGATTGGATGTACACAGTAGACACTCATTGGACGGTTTAACATGACAGTTTTGATAGTTCAAGAAATTGGGCTTAGGGGACTTGGAATAATTTCCTCTGTAAAAGAAGGGAGAAAGTATTCCCAAAAGATAAAGGTACAGTTTAGTTGTGGAATTTTCCAGAAACATGTAGAAGAGACAGACATGTGAGAAAGTGGCAGGAGGGAGAAAAGAAGCAGTCTAAGTTCAGTCATGTTATAGGCCGTTTCTCCAAAATAATATCGTAGGATAGGGTGGGATTCATTCCTTCTGTCATTTGATTAACCTTAACTCCTTTAGATATCAATTTTTTTTGTAATTCTAAATTACTCCAAAATAAAAACCGTATCAGACTCACATTTTAAAATAAAGGTGTTTCTAAAGGTGTTTCAGGAATTGGGGGAAGGCAAAGGAAAGGGACAGGGTACAAAGGCCCAAGAGAAAAAGCTCTGAGCTTCTCTTAACTGGATGACTCAGTCTTCAGCCATATCACATTTTCTTTTCTTTTTTTTTTTTTTTTTTTTGCTTTTTATTCCCTTGTGGTTCAGGGAGGAATAAATTAAGAAGAAAAAAAGTCTTACAGTGTTAGCATTTATCTTTTCAACAAACAGGAAATGAAAATGATACCATATTAGGAGCCACTTTATGTTATTCATCCTCTGTTTTTTAGTAAGCTATTGAACAGCCAAACTAAAAGATACTCTAAACACGTAATGCTAAAGGAATTTAGTTTTCCAAAGTGGTTCAGTTCAAACAATGAAATGTTAGCAATGGCATTTTTCTATAGTTATTTGATTTTTATGTAAGTCTTCTAAGTTTTTAGATGCTAAAACTAAAATATTCTTGGATTGAAAAAATGTTTTGTTTTAAAATTATCATGGGGCCTGTATGTCATTCTTTTTAAAACCCAGAAGTAGTCTGCCACACTGAACATTACAAATTAAAGGGTGAGAAGTGACATTTACTGAAGAGTCTGATGAATATTAATTGTGACTTAATTTGGGGGTAAACAATGTTGATGTAGCAATTACAAAGACCAAGTAGAAGCAACTCCAAACCTGCAGCATCAAAAGAAATCACTACCTCTATTTCCCATCTAAACATCTAAACCAAGCTGGCCTTTCACTGGCCAAAGGCAGCCAGGCCATGGTGCACACACACCCCTGGAGTTTGTAACCAGAGCCCCACCAATAACCCTGGTGGTCACTGCTATGGGAATATTTTCTTATTTTTTCATGAGAATATTCACAATTCATCATCTAGTTTGAGAACACCCAAATACCTTATTTTGCCTTAACCTAAACTCTATCATTCTAGTTCTGCTTTACTGTAAAGATGGGCAAGTTTGCAGAAGTAGGTAAAAACCCAAGTTTTGGTTTCTGGTTGATTGGTGCCAACTAGCACGTTAATATATCCTTGGATGCATTATAGATTTTTACTATTAATTAAAGGTCTAATGCTAACACAGTTTTAACATTTTTTTTCAAAAAACCTTCCAAATGTACTTTTTGTTTTCTTAGGCAAAAAGGCTAGATATTCACACCTATTGAAACCACATCCTCTCTCACTACATCGGCTGTCTCGCATTCACAATACTCACTGGCCCTTCAAAAAGCTTTCAGATTCTTTATTGCTTTTTATTCCATGAGCTCACCATCCCCATCAATTGTCACAGCATCCTTTCATTATTATAATAAAGAATACAAACATTCAATATTAGCAAGCATATTCCAGCATCCCTCATAAACTGAATCCCATGAAAAGCAAAGAGAAGGAGGATGAGAAATACAGACCAAAGAGCAACTGAAAATTTGGTTTGCAATTAAGTCTTTTTGGTGTGACCTTAACAGAGAATTACTCTCTAAAACCTTTCCTGATGGTCATAGGAGGAGTACCTGGCATTAAAAGAATGGCAATGGGCCACACATTAGGGGTCTGTGAGTGCCAGGTTTGTTTAAATTAGGAAGTTTGTTCACCAATTTTGTAGATTTAAGGATGTGGCATCACAGTCAAACCCTGCTGGGTTCAAATTCTGGATTTGCGACTCGAATGCATTCTGGAACCTTTTGAAGTATTTAATTTCTCCTTCTAAATATGGAAAGACAATCTCTGAACTTTGAAGGGTTGTTTTGAGGATTAGATAAATTTTTGCACATAAAAAGCTCAGTTAACAGACAGTCTAGTGCTTCATGAATGCTCAAAAAATATCTAATTTTTTTAAAGGACAGTTGAATCAGTCTAGTCTATTTAGACTTCTACTGGCTAAGTCTATATTTGGAATCTGGATCAACATAACAGGACTTCAATTTTGTGTTTGGTCTAACTAGGGAGAGAATTTTAATGTTTTAAAGAATGGAACAGAAAAAGCATAGGAAAGATGAAGCCCATTTCTTAGGGATTTATCTCCTTGGTTCTCACTGTATCTTCCCCTCATTCTAAGCAAATGCATTTTGCCCCCTTGGCTGATATAGGTCATCCCCTCTCCTATTAGCCATACCCTCAAATTAGGTTTTAGATAGCCAGTCTGTGCAATACCGTAACATGGATATTACTCCAGTCCCACTGCTATCTGCCGAAGGCTAGGAGCTTCATTCAACATCTTCAAAGATAAAAACTGAGGAGATTAAACTCATTCTTTTAGCAGAGAAAAGAGAACATGGTTTTGGGTTCATTTAACATAATCATTCTGTATGTTGTCAGGAGGACTAATCATTTTAAGCCCAATTTGGCTGTTCTCACTTGTGAGAAGCAAAATTCTTCTGCAATAAATGAAGGAATTGGGATGTGTAAAAATGCTAGAATTATTGAGGAAGGATGAGAAGAAGGGACCAAATCACTTATTTGATTTCATAGAAGCGATGATTTTTGTGGCTGCTTCAAGTCCTCCAGTGCTGTTCTCAAATTTTATAGTTGGGGAAACAGGTTTTCAGAGTGATCTTACCTGAGGTCATAGAGCTGGGGTGGGGCAGAACTAAAAACAGAATCCTGGAACTGTGATGCCTGGTCTGATTTCCCCACACTGGTGTGATTCTGAGAATCACCTAGGACACTATTAACACAGATCTTTGCCTCTTTTGACCCCCACAACTGAACTATTGATGCAGAATCTCCACAGAAGGGGTGGGGAGGGGCGTGGAATATGTAGTTTTTAGCAGGCACCCAATTTATGAGTAAGCAAGTCTGGATAACTCCCGTACAATGAAGAGCCCCAATTTACTTGACTAAGGTCTCACCAAAACTTGCTAAGCCCAACACTCCAAGGGAGGGACCAGGGTGGTTTTAATAAGGACCCAAGTTTCCAAGTTTCATGAGGTAGGTTTGGCAGACACTACTCTCTTCCATGGACGGAGTATGCCTTAAACAGTAGCTGTCTAGGTTTCCTCAGAAGTTTTGTATACAATGATGATCCAAACAGAACTGGTTGAGGCAGAGTGTATCTAGTTACACAGGTCTCTAAAGTATCTATGATCAAAAGAAGAAAAACAAGAGAAAAAAAAAGGCAGTGACTGGAAGGAGTAGAAGTGAAATTCTTTTACCAAACTGAGTATTTACCAAACAGTTATTTTCAACGCACTTTATCAAACTATAGTTTGTTCCCATGCCTTCAAAACTTGGCACCAATGAAAACTTGTAAACAATTTCTTGAACACCAGCTACAGCTCTCTGAAGGTATGCAACCTATGGCTCATTTCACCCCAATTGAAGAATTTCCCTACTTTCATTGTATTCTGTCACCATCTTAACATTCCTTACATGTTGTTATTAAAGACTCTCTTGACATTTAAAGCAGACACACACTAATACTCACTCATAGTCTAGGAATTCTAATGCTCCCAGAGTTAAGCAGGATTTTAAATTACGAAAAAAAAGTGTCATGGTTTTCAAGGAAGGACATGGAAGTGAGAAACCCAGAAACTCTCTTCTTTTCCTTGGCTCCAATCACAAGGTAGTGGCAATATGAAGCTCTGATGCTACTGGGACTCTGAGCTCATTCAGGGAGAGCCACAGGGCTCTGTGAGGACAATGCTATGAGCAACTGTCCTGAGTATTGCCTTGATGGGGGTAGAAAGGTCCAAAAGGGGTCAGGCCGCAGATGATGTATTTGTGAAAGTGGGCGCCTGGAGTGATTACTAACAGCACCACGAATGGTGGAGTGATCACACAGAATTTGCCTGTAGTCACTCATTTGGGTTAGCTTGATGTCTCCCTCCGCTATGAAAACTTGTGCACTTTTCTCTCGGCTGACACTCTCAGAGCTTGCATTTCCCAAGTGCACATGTTCTAGAAAACTTCAGAGTGATCCCAGCATTGCTGATTTTCAGACTTGCCCTGTTGGCAGTG